GTCACGTGGTTCCATGAGGTGACCGATAACCATCCGACAATCTATTCTCTACCAACAGGTCACCTGTTACCAACATGCCATCTATCATCGATTACCAGCAGACCATCTGTCACATGTTACCATCCATACACCTGTTCCCTGTTACCACCAGGCCACCTGTCACCTGTTACCATCAGGCCACATGTCACATGTTACCATCAGACCCAATGTCACTGGTTACCACCAGGCCACATGTCACCTGTTACTATCAGACCACATGTCACCTGTTACCATCAGACCACATGTAACCTGTTACCATCAGGCCACATGTCACCTGTTACCATCAGGCCACCTGTCACTTGTTGCCATCATGCCATGTGTCACCTGTTACCATCAGACCACATATCACCTGTTACCATCAGGCCACATGACACCTGTTACCATCAGACCACATGTCATCTGTTACATTGACCACATGTCACCTGTTACTATCAGGCCACCTGTAACCTGTTACCATCAGACCACATGTCATCTGTTACTATCAGGTCACCTGTAACCTGTTACCATCAGACCACATGTCATCTGTTACATTGACCACATGTCACCTGTTACTATCAGGCCACCTGTAACCTGTTACCATCAGGCCACCTGTCACTTGTTGCCATCATGCCACGTGTCACCTGTTACCATCAGACCACATGTCACCTGTTACCATCAGACCACATGTCACCTCTTACTATCAGACCACATGTCACCTGGGTGATTTCAATATTCATGTGGATGTTGAGAGTGATAGCTTAAGCATAGCCTTTAATAATTTAATAGACTCTTTTGGTTTTACCCAAAACATCCGTACATCAGGATCAGAATCAGTTTATTATTACCATGTCAATGAACGAGGTTCACAAACTAGGAATTTGCTTCGACATAAGGTGCGAATAGTAATAAAGTAAAATAAAGTAAAAATAAAGTAAAATTAAGTAAAAATGAGAACATTACATAAGACCTGTGTACACCCACAAATAAAGTAAAATTAAAAACATAACATAACCATATGTACACCCATACAATAGAAAACAATAAAAAAGCTTAGAGAACAGTACAGATGGAGTATTCAATTATAATACAGATGTAATGTGACCAAAGCAGAAGTTATGAGGTAGCATTATGAGTGTTCAGGAGTCCAACAGCAGAGGGGAAGAAACTGTTCTTATGGCGGGAGGTTCTGGTCCGAATGGACCGAAGCCTCCTGCCTGAGGGGAGTGGTTCAAACAGTCCGTGTGCAGGGTGAGCAGGGTCAGCTGTGATCCGACCTGCTCGCCTCACAGTCCTGGAGACGTACAGGTCGTGGAGGGATGGAAGGCTGCAGCCGATCACCTTCTCAGCTGAGCGCACAACGCGCTGCAGTCTGAGTCTGTCCCTGGCAGTGGCCCCGGCGTACCACACCGTGATGGAGGAGCTGAGGATGGACTCGATGATGGCTGTGTAGAACTGCACCATCAGCTTGGCCAGCAGCTTGGCCTTCTTCAGCTGTCGCAGGAAGTACAGTCTCTGCTGGGCCTTCTTGATGAGGGAGCTGATGGTCGGCTCCCACTTGAGGTCCTGGGTGATGGTGGTGCCGAGGAACCGATAAGAGTTTGCAGTGGTGATGGGGGTATTGTTACAGGTGAGGGGGGGCAGAGGGGCTGTGGCTTTCCTGAAATCCACAATCATCTCCACTGTCTTCTGGGCATTGAGTTCCAGGTTGTTGCTGCTGCACCAGGTCACCAGCCGGTCCACCTCCCTCCTGTATGCAGACTCATCACCGTCCAAGATGAGCCCGATGAGGGTGCTGTCATCTGCAAATTTAATAAGTTTCACAGAGTACTCATTCTTATCATCACACTCTTGATTTAGTTCTGACCTCTGGTGTAGAGATTAAGGACTTGGTAATAGTTCCTCAAAATCCTATTCTGTCCGACCATTTTTTAATAACCTTTGAGTTTACATTAAATGACTACACAGTCACTGAGAGTAAATTTCATCTCAGCAGGTGCCTATCAGAAAATGCTGTAACCAAATTTAAACAATCTCTTCCATCAATGTTTTCCTCTGTCTTGCAGAGTAACGCATCAGAGAACAGTGACTTAGATCATCTAGTTGATCATCTTACAACTTCAATGCAAACTTCACTTGATAAAATTGCTCCACTGAAAAAGAAAGTAATCAATCAGAGGAAACTGGCTCCTTGGTTCAATTCTGAGTAACGTACTTTAAAGCAGGCATCTAGAAACCAGGAGAGAAAATGGCGCTCTACTAATGTTGAAGAATTTTATTTAACTTGGAAAGATAGTCTGTTAACATATAAAAAAATCTCCATACAGCTAGAACTTTATATTACTCATCTTTAATAGATGAGAATAAAAATAACCCTAGGTTTCTGTTTAGTACTATTGCTAGACTAATGAAAAGTCCCATTTCAAATTCAAATTCAAATTCA